TATCTTGTTTTATGTCAACAAACGTATTATATATCGAGCCTGAGGTATATATAGGGGTGGTAGCAGCTCGCATACCTGTTTCAAACTATTTTCGCGCCCCAAACAAGATAGAATTGAACAGAGATTGGCTGAGAAGTCAGTAAAAAAAATATAAACCAATAAAGACTCAGTACTCGGTTATTTGGTAAAACCTATACTGCACCCACCACTACTTTTTACACATATTTGCTGTACACCCACACATTATTTGATCATCTCTTATTAGGGGTGATGGCACCTATTCTGTATCATTTTTGAAATATTTTTTTTGTGAGACAAGTCTTGTACAGGTAGGAATTATAAATAGGAATCCAAGAATAAGCGTTATAAGAATATCTTAAATAAAAGATATCTTGGTGAAATATTACTTTTCACTCCTAATAGCCGTTACACTAGTATATAACGACTATTGAATTTGGTATAAGTTTTCGTAGAAATACACTGCAATCCTTCATTATCCTTAACCTCCTGAGAACCACAACTTTTATTTTCGGGAATTTAATTTAAAACTTACTAGATCGATTTTATAGGTGACTAGATGTTCTCAAAAAATATAAAAAAAAAAAATTGTTGGAAAATCTAGATTTTCTCAATGTAGTATATATACAACATCAGTTCTGTATACCTAATGTGTAAAATGCAGTATGTTTATAATTTAAAAAATATTTTATGTAATGATAGTGAGTACGAATTGTTTATGTACATTTGCTGCATAAATAATTTAATGCATAGTAAAAAACAACTATAAAATTAAGTAACGAGGCATTTATTTTCTAATTTGAGACTTAGTAATTTTTTTTTTCAAATCTGAGTTAGCATATTTGCTTTATTATCTTAAATGTTACGAAGTTTCAACATAAATCTCACTAGAAAATATATAATGTTTTAACAGAGTTAAAATTAAAAATAATTATACCTACCTATCAAAATCCTATCAAAAGTTTGGCGTGTGAATCTTCATAAAAACAATTTCGTTTTCCAATCCTTCCTATCCTGACTTGATAGAAAAATATCGCCTCCGACTCATAGCATATTTTATGATTTGAATCCCGTATATTTGACCAATACGTTACTATAGCTAGCTAGCTAAATTAATAGACCCCATGACTAGGACAGGACGCCTATGAATGTTTTAAAAAAAATTAACGTCATTTCCAACTCTTTTCTTTTTTTTTTCAAAAGGTATGTTCTATTTGCGGCGTCTAGCATCTGTTTGAGAATGCTGTCAGTTATATATTGTTAAAAAAAACTCCTGATGAATCCGTATTCAGTTCCATATATCTTGGCTGATAAAAAAAGTCCTAAAGGAGTGAAATTATCAGTCCATATATTATTACCATTCTGCCGATGATGGTAAAAATGTTGTGCTTTGTCCTCGACGACCTCTGATTCTTGCATGGGTCGATCTACCACCACGCGTATAGGGCCCACTTCTGGTCCTGACATAACTACTGTGAGTAATAGCAATAGAAGACTACAAAAATATTCAGATTCTGGACGAATTCTATCTTCTGTATCCGAAGCATTCGAAGAACGAGAGTCAAAGTCACTGCTATCATCGTTTCGCGCTGAATGGATCTCTTCTGTTGGATTCTCTTCATCCGACAACTCTATATTTGATTCTAAGATGTTTAGAAGAATCACATTGATTTCATTATCCCGCAAAACTAATAAAACAATAACAAAGAATGTTATGGAAAGTATAAATGTTTTATGTTGTATAGTTACTACACTGGACATTCTGTGAACACATAAGTCGTTGAGAACCAATGTATTACTAGTACAACATAAAGCTTTCATTGTTAATATTTTAGTTTTATGTGTGGTGAAATACAATAACGTTGTGTAATTACGATAAATGCATCAAAACAAGCAATTAACTACTATAATCTTTACAAGCAACACAGGTTTTCATAAAAAGATTAAAGAATCTTATCACGGGGTACGGGTACCGAAGCCATCGTCGACGTAAAATGAACAATAAAAAATAATCTAAGCCACTTTCTCAGTCAATTACCGATCAGTATGGCTGATAGATGTTTTGTCTATGAAATGAAATTAAAAGATCGAGCAAATTTCGTTAGATGGCGGTGCAGGATTTTTTTCTATCTATGTTGTAAATATACTACAGTTTCACTCAGGAGGTTAATATGTCAATATATATGAGTAATACCAATTTCTTAACTTTATAAACTTACTGCAATTATATGTTTACGACTTACTCATGATATTATGTTTAGGTTTAATGCCCAATAAATGACTTTTGATTTGATTTGATTACATGGAATGAGAACCTAACAGTACAATCGTCGTGATATTGTTATTCGGTCAATACAAACTGTAATTTTATTCATTGGTAGATGATAGACAGGTTAATAGTGATTCTGGTTAAGGTCCAGTTGAGTTTTAAGTTAGTTAATATATCAAGGCGATACTCAAATCAAGGAATCCCATTTGCTACAGCAATTCAAACCGCGCATAAATAATTCCAGGTAAATCAAAGTCGAAAATTCATTTGTATGAAACATACCTGTATTTCCAACAACAACTCTGTTTTTCGCCGTCGTATGTCTATCAATGTCTTCTGTTGTTCAGGTGTTAACTCTGAAAGTGTAAGATATTTCTGCATAAACACTTGGTAGTTGATCATTAGCCATTGAGGTCATGTTATTGGAAAAACAACTTGTTCTACGTCTACAATCTAACTAAAACAGACTGATATTTCTCACCTGTATGGGAGAAAGGATCTCCATGGTTACTTGAAGCATTGTTTCCACTAAGGGATAAATTTTCAAATTCACTAATCATTTCAAAACAATTTAATTTAAATGTGTAAACAATAAACAAAAGTTTACATCGTTACGAGCCTTTCGGCAGCCATATTTATTTTTATTTACTATGAACGAACCAACGAAAACGAACAAATTCATTCTTTTCGTCAAGCAGCGCCGCGTTCCAAACCTACACTCCAGGTTAGGCATGCGTCCGATATATCAAAACGAATCCAAAATCCGATTTCAAACACAAATCGATACCGAACGATTTCTCAACAAGAAAATCCGATTTCAGAAATCTAACCGAACCAAAACCAAATACCACAAGTATCCAAATCTAAATCGGATTCGAAATTCGTGCTTTCGTTTTCGGAAGTCAGATTTCGTGCTCGGAACTCCGATTTCGATTTGATGTTTACGGAAATCTATTGCTGTTCTCTGAGGCGGGATTATTTATCACTGAAAAGATATGTCGTCTAAAAACATCAAAAGTCGAGCAACTTACATTTTTGGACGCTAACTTGAAGTAATTAGGTTTGATTTTGTAAATGGTTTGAAAAATAATAAAAACAAACAGAATAACAAATAAAAATACTAAAAAATATGTAAAAAGAAATCATTGTATAAATGCCGATTTTTAAATGCGCCGCAAAAGTTTTACTCTTAACCGTAAACATAACTTTTCTGCTAGTCCTAAGCCTAGATTTAAAGCATGAAGGAAAATCGCGAATATCTACGAGTATCCTTGCTTCCTACAATTAATTGTTTGTGATTGTCGTTAGCTAATAAAACCAAATCATAACACAAACTAGTGAATTGGCTAAGTTCAGCACATCTGAAATCGGATATCTAAAAACGGATTTTAAAATCGATTTTGAAATCTGAAATCCGATAAATATCCGTTTGCGTTCAAAACCAAAAACGCCCATGTCTACTCCAGGTTCAACAAATGTCAATTTTGACTTCAGCTTCATACATTTATGTCAAAAGAGATGGTTCTCAACTGGTAGTCGGTTTCCAGCAGCGACGAAACATATCATAGAAACCGAAATATCACAGAAAATAGAATATTATTTGAAAGCTTGTTTAATATTATACTATAGAATATACTTTTAATTTTTTAATTATCTCCGAATCTATTTTTTTTGAATCGTGTTTAAAAATTGGTTATTTTTTAAGGATGCTGGCCACCCACGATTACTAAGGTAATAAACAATACAAAAAAATCTAAATTTGTTTTTAATGAGAAAAAACAGACTTATAAATCAGTCTTATACATAAATTAACAAATTAAAATTTGAGTTCAGAAATTAAAATCGTAATCCAAACGTCACAGAACAAATATAATGTCGGCGCGGCAAACGCATTTATTATGTTGTGTGTAGTAGTTTTTTTAGATTGATCCATGGATTTCCGCGTAATACGTTCACATGCGACTAAGTTTTTGGGAAGACTGTCATCAGTCTGGACTGGACTGACCGTGTAATACGTCTATCTGTCCATCAGTCTGGACTGATGGACTGAACTGAGCATCAGTTCAGTCCACTCACCTCACACTGACATTCTAATGTAATAAAAAAAAGATTAAGATATATTTTTCTCCTTTAAAGCCTGCACGGTTTGTGCGTCAGCCACATACAAGGGAAACAGAATAAAAAAGGAACGGAAATTTAGAAGGACAGGTTCAGGTAAGTATTTACAGTTAAATATTGTGTTTCTGGATAAAATTTAAAATACTATAAATATCATTCTTCATACAATAAAGCAAAGTATTTACAGAAGTCGGGAGGGAAGATTAAGGCTCGTATTACAGAATGACAACCAAATGTTGATCTTTATTTGAGTACAGTTAGAAAGGGATGTCGCTATGTGCTATATATAGCCACATCCCTTTCTAATTATGCTCAAGACTAGATCAATCACTGAGACTTTCTTTAATACGGGCCTAAGATTTGTATTTATATATACGACTAAAAGAATTCTATCCATAGCCATGAATAAATTATAAAAAAACTAGCTCTCTCTCCCTTATTTATGAGCTCTCCTTCTCCTTCCTGCCTTCCTGCAAAAAAGAGCTTGAAAAGAGAACACGCCCCCAGCCAATCCATCACTTATTTGATTGAATTTTCACTAGAAATTCGTATTTCTGTCAAGTCAGTCCTATCTTGGACAAAGTCTCTATAAAAACAGCCGGTGTTTTGTGGCGATAGTGTAATAAAATAATGCTTGTTGTATTTTAGTTTGTGCAACTTACAAAGAAGACTTGAAATTAAAAACCCGGTTTTTAATTTTTATATTACAAACGAAATAATGAATGACAATGGTTGCATACACTTAAGTAATTTTAAGGCAGCGAAAGGAACGAATCCCTATAAAATCGTACATGCATTTTTTGTTTCCTGTACATCTTTTGAAGCACGAAGATACAAAGTAAGTATTTACCTAGGTAATACAAACGTTGATGAAATGATGGCTCCAACAAAAGTGCCTACATTTCGGTATTAAGTGACCTTTTTACGAGTCAGGTATGATGGCAGTGCATAGATATTATAATCTCCTGTTTTGAGCCTGTATTGCGAAGGTTGATGAAATTCTAATCAGCTGATTAGTGCTCTTTGACCTTAAAAACAGCTGTTCAATGATATTATTATTAGTCCTAGACTGCCGTGATTCTTATTTCACAAGTTTTATTTATATCTTTTTGATTAATGATATCTTTCACATTATTATATTTTTATTTTAAGGATTTAACTGTAAAGTTTATAAAAGTGTATAAATCAAAAGAAAAAAAAATTCTTGTGAAATATTTTGTCAAAGAATCTTAAAATCTTATGGGTAAGATTATTTTTAATATTTTTTTATTTTCACAGGCTACATCATGCCTCTGCTTTGCCTGCGGTCAACCTGGCCCACGTATGCACTCCTGTCTTCATTGCATTTACTTTGCATGTTACGCTGGCCATATACAAGAGCATTCAAAGTCTAAAAAACATTTCCTTTATGTAGATCTGAGTTATGGAAATGTATATTGTACACAATGCCAAGATTATATCTATGATAGAGAATTAACTGAGATTGCAATGAGTCATAGATTAAAAGAAGCCAAGTAAGTAGCCAAAAAGTATCGTAAGATACTCGCAATTTTACTCATTTCTTTTCATTTACTATAAAATATGGTGTTCTATACTTATTTTCTTAAAATATTTGCTATTTATATAAGTAGGGATGCAACGATACGGCTATTGCCATACCAATACGAATGACGATTAATTAATTAGATTAGATAGTAGTTATCTTTGTTAATTGTTTATTTTTTTTGTTATTTTTCTGCGTTAAAGCTGTCATTGTCAAACATAAGGGAAGCGTGTGTTTAGACGCGGGCTTTTCGTACTCAAAACTGTAGTAACTACTGTAAAAATGAAAAATTTAGGAAAAGAATGAATCACATGTATTATAATTTTTACGATAGGGAATGATTGTAATAACTGAATCATTGCATCCCTAATCATAAGTGATGACTATAACATATTACGTTACCGTTACGTTAGAAAACTTTTTAATTCATACTAAGTTAAATATAAAAATAAGTTAGGTTTGTCCAAATATATCTGTGATAATTTAGAAGTATATGATATGAATGGTTGCAATGTTTAGCTAAGGATAATAAGCCGTTAAATATCCTCAAGTCATAATCCATGTCAGAAATTTTAATATTCCATTCTGAATGAAACCAATACCACAGTACAAATATCAAGGGCTCTCAATCTTATTATATCTACTGCCCACTTTATTAATCAGTAATTATCTAGCGGCCCCCTTAAAAGTGTGACTCCAACACATTGGAGAATATTGTGAAGAACTATGATAGACAAAATAAACTGTTGTTTAAACTTAAGATTCCAAACCAAAATAAACACAGCTCCTCAGCTATTTTAATATCCCCCATTTTTAAGAGGTACTTTTAATGCCCCTTTTGATTCCTAACTCTCACAAGGTACCTCCCCCCACTGGGGGACTGGTCTTGTAAGATTGCATACACTATTTATTTATTCACGCCAAGGCTTAACTATACTAAACTTTTGTCCTATCATTCATCATCAGCGCAGGGTCCACTTTTGCGTCTCGCGGTTCCGCACGTAACAGCGTAGAGGGTATTCGCAGGGTTTTTTAGCGGATAGTACATATGTCGTAAGCGCTCGTAAGCAGCGCCGACTGCTTAACGGCTTTTCACCGTTTCACCGTTCGTACCCCGTTCGGAAATATGGTCCAAAGCCTGATCGAGTTCAGCGACAATATTCTTCTTGGTTTGTACCTGTCCATCCGCTGCGTGTCCAAAGTATCTCCTATGCACTGTACTATCGTCTGCACAGCAATGAATATTCCCAAGAGGAATCAAATCATTAGTATGCAGCAGGAAGAGAGTGGGGGACAGGACGGAGCCCTGAGGAACGCCGGCATTCACTGACATGAACCGCGAACTACTATCATCCGTAAGGACACGAATTCTACGCTCATGCAGGAAGTCAGCTACCCTGGAACAGAACTGGGCCGGCAGACCGTATGCCGGAAGCTCGGAGAGAGGGCTTTTGTGCCAGACCCTGTCGAACGCCTTGGCAATGTCAAGACTGATAGCCAACGATTCGCCCCGCTTGTCGATAGCCTCACCCCAGATATGAGTCAAGTACGCTAGAAAATCACCCGTCGAGCGTTTCGGTCTAAAACCATATTGACGATCATTAATCAGAGAGTGATCCTCAAGGTAGCGGGTCAGGTAGTTGTTAAGGACCTTTTCTAGGACTTTACATAATACTGAGGTGACTGCAATTGGCCGGTAGTTTGCCGGGTCTGAGCGATACCCTTTTTTGGCCACCGGTTGCACGTTGGCATCTCTCCAAGTCTTCGGCAAACGCCAACAAGCACGGGAGACAACTCCGCTGCACATTTTTTAAGTACTACTGGGATGCCACCAGGTCCACTAGCTTTCCGGACGTCGAGTGATTGCAATTCGGGCCGAACCTCACGCTGTCTGATTTTAATATCAGGCATCGTTGTGGCACAATGAGGTAATGATGGTGCCAGTGCATTGCAATCATCGATTCGGGAGTTAGCCGCAAAGAGTTTTGCCAGTAAATCGACTTTCTCCTGTGGCTTTAGGGTTGCCAGATGGCCGGGATTTCCGGAATTGTCACGGAATTTTGCGTGTTGTCCCGTGTCCAGTAATGTAATGTTGTGAATGACACCTGCTTCATGTTTTAATTCTGGGGGGTGATGGGGGTTTGATTTGAAGCTTATTTTTACAGTTTGGAGTGCAAATGTCCCGGAATTGATAAGCCAGCATCTGGCAACCCTATGTGGCTTATGAGCTAGTGCATCTCAAAGGTGGCAGCAGATAACGTCTAAACTATGTGCCGGCTATTAAACTAAACGGCTTGCCACTCGTGGTTGATCGTTTCATATCTTTGGGCCATTGGGTTACCGCCGACTTGAAGGACGATACAGATATAGAAAGGGAGCGCAGGGCGCTGTCTGTTAGGGCAAACATGATTGCACACAGATTTGTTCGCTGTTCAGGTGATGTTAAAATTACACTGTTTAGAGCTTTTTGTACATCTTTTTACACCTGCAGCCTGTGGACTAACTACACAAAGAAACAGTATAGCACCTTGCGGGGGCAATATAATAATGCTCTGAGGGTATTGTTGGGGCTGCCTCGATTCTGCAGCGCTTCAGCTATGTTTGCACAATACCGTGTGGATTGTTTTTATACAATCATGCGTAAGCGATGCACTTCTCTCGTCAGCAGGGTACGGAGCAGCCCTAACACAATCCTGAAACTCTTTTCGAGTAGATTTGACTGTCACTATATGAACCATGCGGCTATGATACATGTAGTGACTATATAAAATTTTGTTATTTATATATAATATAAGCATTAATCTCTACCAAATTAATATAACTTTGAATTTAAATTCTGACATTTTAATAATAACATTTTAATTTTGACATTTTATTTTTTGAAATTCTGCAACTGTTAATAAGTAGGTGTGAAAACGATTGAATTTAATTTAATTTTTGTTTTAAATGCAATTGTATGTGGAGATGTAATTTGATTTGTTTTTATGTATTATAATAATTACTATTTATTATCATTTTGTCATTAGCATGCTATGATCTTTATGATTGAAATAAATGAATTATTATTATTATTATTAATAGCTACCGGAGCCTGTAGGATAAAACATGAACCAAGCACGCGGAGCATACCCTCGCTCCGTGGTTTACGCTTAACGCAGCGCAGGCTCTAATAATATTAGCGACAGTTAGGCTGAGTGCAGATTAGAGTCACAACAGTCTCAAGACAGACTATTGCTTAACAAAAATTATGAAGATGCGCACATTCGAAACGAGACGTCTCATAGACAAAAACGTCATATGTTCACAAGAACTGCAAAGCGACAAGTCTGACTAACGACTGTCCGCTTCCCTTTGTTATGTATGCGAGGGCGCACACCAACGACAAAATTGTCTAGCGATTATTAATGATAATTGATCCCGAAAGAAAGTATAAGTACAATACATACGACAAAATAAGTAATATGTGGGTCCATAAATTTTGACAAATTATCAAAGGTAGATACATTCATTCGAAATTGCTGGTAAAACTTCCTGGGGTGGTGCTTTAATTTACTATATAATAAATAATCGGTGAAATCTATTCTGATACTGATGAAATGGTGAGTGTCGCATCGTAGACAAAACAGTTTCGTCTTGGTGTGCGCCTTGTGGTAGACACAACTGTTTCTTTTTAATTGTAAAGCTGTCTCGTCTATGTAAGATAAGATTGTCTAAAAACTGTTGTGACTATAGTCTGCGCTCACTCTTACATCTCAATATAATAATAATAATTTTAATTCCGAAAAGTCCCGAAACGAGGTAATCCTGTCTCTAGAGGACTAGAGTTGATGAGTTGACATAATTGGAATTCACTGTGTTATTTATTTGAAATTGACAACTAAACAAATTTAATTATACAAAATTTTCTATCAATTTTGTAGACTAACTAGTTATACTATTTTATTACATTTATCTGGATCCGCGAAATTGAGCAATAAAGCGGCACGGCCGTACAATGCTTTTCTCGAAACAGTTCAGGCCATTATCGATCCTATACCTTCGAGGAGAACAAATATTACCTAACACTCAAGGATTTTTAATATTTGTATCTTATTTCTTGCTTCACTTTTTCAAAACCAATCTATGTTTGCAGTAGGGTTGCAAAGTAAATACATTAAAAAAGTTAAATCTATTTGTCATATCTTTTGTAAGGTTTTCTACTACAAAGTTATGAATCTAATATACTTGAATGGAAAAGAGAAAAGTGCATTGAAATATGGGAGAGAACAAGTTTTAATTCATAATATAGGCATTATGCCTTGCTTCTTTAATACTGAAAGATGCTCTAACTTTGTTCCAAGTAAAGGATGCTAAATTACGCAGGTCTCTTGGAATCAGTGCGCCTTTCATGCCTTGGTTGCCTAACACCAACGAAGCGCTTGCTTTACGCCGTCTACGCAAGCGGCGTCTCATCAGCCCTCACACAACCATTGGTCTCCGAGGTCTGCAGAACCTGGGCTCCACCTGTTTCATGAACTGTATTGTACAGGTAAGTACCGAGTATCAAACAAAACCAGTATTATAGGTTTGCTCTTTCATTTATCAACAATTCCAAGTTCACTCAGCCTTTCGTTCCAATAACAATATCTGGTATTATAATCAAGAAATCTTCCTTTGAAATTTAAAAGTTGAATATGATTCATAATGCCACAATTAACTCACCTGGCTGCTTTACTTGTCTGGCAACTTTTTAATGCAGTATACATTCTGTAAGTAGTTGCCGTGCATTTTTAGGGTTCCGTAGTCCTGACAAGGAACCCTTATAGTTTTGTCATGTCATGAGGTGTAATTTTGTGGAGATATGTATGTAGAACATGCCGACAAAATGGTAGAAATAAATTTTGAAAAATATTTTTTTAAGGTAGCTCCTCTACATGTATCCTGGGGATGATTTTTTTTCATCATCTATCCCATATTGTGGGATATCGTTGAATAGGTCCTTTAAAATTACTTTAATATTTTTTTTTGGATTTGTAAGTCTATATTTCGATTGAGAGATTCGTTTGCGAAATATTGAACTTTAACGTGGAATTTTTTGTTCTAGTAGTGTCGCCCCCCTCCCCTCCTCTAATAGCTAAACTATTGGCTTGAAAACCTGGAAAACTTTATGATAATATTGCTTTTCATGAACTTATAAGGAAAACTATAACGGGTAAGATAGATTTTTGGTTTAAGAGTAATAGTCGTTCAATTTTGGTTAAAGAAAATCAAACCAAGTCAAATTACTTTGGAGTTTGACAGTTAGACGCGATAAAAACGTGATATAATGTAAATTGTGGTGCTCATGATACGGGGACTACTCAAATATATTGTGGTAACTACAGGCAACTACGGAAACACTGCGCGAAGCACGACACGCACTTGGCTGGTTTTGATTTATAATCCACAGAAAGTATTTTGATGTTCCGGCTGAGTAAAATCTTGGAAGTATAAGCTTTTAAATATTTTAAAATGATAAATATTATTAAGTTATTTTAAATGCACATGCGAATTCCTCGACTACTTCCTTAGATCATTAGCAAGGATGATCAAGTGATTTTGTTTCATAAAGGAAACTTGTTATAATATCTAGTTGATGAGGAGCAATGGTATATGTGAATCTGTCGACAACATACTTAATAAAAAACATCAGCTCTAGTGATAGAACCAACGATATATTTCGCAATGTTATGAGTTATTTGAGTTCTTATCTTAACATTGCCTCGTGAGCTTTAAACAAAGACAATTCGAACTACCAGACGGAAAGCGAGTTTTTAATGTTACTGCAACATCGGTAATGTTCTACTAAACAGTTGTTATCAACAAATGTTTAGTATTTAGATAAAATAAAATATATAGATGAAAAGATATATAAATAGCTTTCTACCCTTTCAGCTTAGCTGCGAAGGAACGGACGGAGTGAGCGAAACTTTAAGGGTTCCTTGTTGACTCAGAACCTTTAAAGTGGTACTTTGCTTGTGTGTAACTTCTAAAGAGTCCATATCTCTTTTCTATATTTTATTTGATATTATGTTATGTTCAAATAAAACAGTGTGATACATTTTTTATCATTACGCATCTATTTTCCTGGTAATTAAATATTGCTCTCCCGTTGTGTTGCATGGGCGGACATAATATAATAAACGTGCTCCAGTTTACCTTGAAAGGGTATTGGATGTTCGCAGCGCAACCTACGCATGTCCTATTTAATCACTAGTGCTCTCCCAGGTAAATTGAGTTCCCTGCAGCACTGAATCTTTTGCAGTGAGCATTATTGATTTTCCCGGGCGAATGTAATCAAATACCGCTGTAGTTACGTGCACTGAAGGTTTCAGAGTAAAACATACAGAAGGGGTACCCCTAGCACGAACCAATATCGAATTCGTATCATTTGCGAGTCCAAAATGTCATTGTCACATGTGTACTGATTGTTTTAGTTCTCGTTACGTACTTTGTGCCGCTGCTGTTCAAGTTTCCATACAAAATTTGACATTGACATTTATCAAACTATTCGAATTCGATAATGGTTCGTGCTAGGAGTACAGAACACAAATCCGTTTTTATTACAATCAGCGTTGTGATAAAAAAAATAATCACAGATAATCTATAATATAAAAATGAATCGCTGAATGTGTTGCTAAGCGCAAATCTCGAGAACAGCTGAAACGATTTCGATAATTCTTTTTTAGAATATTGCTTGAAGTACGAGGATGGTTCTTCGAAGAGAAAAATTAAAAAAAATGCCTGAAAATGTACACAAACAAAACTTTTCTATATTCCCATACAAAACGATTTGCAATAATACTTAAAAGTCAATTTAAAAAAATATTTTTTAGTCTATATTTTTTAAACACTAAAAACGCTGTTCGCCACGTCGGCCATGATTGTGACGTCTCTTGTAGTAAACAACTAAATGTCATTCGCGTGTTACTGTGGGTGGATTCTTTCGTCTGACTAAATTTATCTTGAAACACTTTTAACTTTAGAAAAGTTTCCATTTACTGATTTTTTTTGACAAAACTCATTATGGATTCCGGCTTTGTGAAAGCAGAAAGCACAAATCTGCCAAGAATTGACGCATTGATGGTTGGTGAATTTTTTGCACTAAACCGCGATTGCTGCTCTGCGGAGCAGAGAAACGACAAGGCATCTATGTAAGTACAGTGCATTTAGTAATTCAATGTAGTAATAAACATAAAACTGATACAACATATGAATAAGTGTAATAAAGTTGCGTAGGTTAATTTCTTTCGGCACTTTAATCCACAACTTTCCTGGAGTCTTCAAGGATGTGTTTTCATATTCTCGTACAATACAATAATGATAATTTCTTTATTTTTCGTGGTATTTATTAGAAATCATGTTTTTTTTTACTATAAACTCAGTGATTTTCTACGTGCTTACGAGTTTTTGTTTACTACAGTTGACGTTATAGCATAGATAATCTATAGACTAAAATGGCCGACAGCGTTTTTGTATGACCATGAAAAGTTTATTTTAAAATTAAAGATTTGTAGCTTTCTAGGTCTCAAAAAAATACAATAATTTTTTTTTCGGTCTAAAAGAACATTTATTAACCATTTAAAACCTTTTTCCAAAAAGGGTCAACTAGCCTATTGAGCGACGTGATGTCAATATAAGTTTGGAAAAGGCAAATATACCATTTTCAGTTTTATTACTTATATGAGGAGTCATTTAAATCTACACTACAGCTCTACACCGAAGTGAAGCGAGGGCGGGCCACTAGTTGTTAATGAATGTCAAGATGAATAGCAATGCAATCTTTATATCTTTGTACGGTTGGTTAATTTACATTTAGATGTAAGCAAGTAGTTAAGAACTCAGTATGGATGATAGAAATAAAATGGCTACCTGTCCTAAAAATGGCTCACGAAGATAGGGCTCTTCATCATATAAACTTCTTTGTTTCTCGTAATATAGTTTGCAAATCGTATGGGAAACGCTAGTTGGTTACCAAACTAATAACCCCAGAAAAAGTTCTCTCTCAGGACACTTTTCATGGAAGCAAAAAATGATAGACTTGCAGTAAACCCACTTCATCATTATTTTGCTATTTATTTATTAGTGATGATGGATTTTTGGATGGTTTTTTTACTTGATCTTATTTGGACAACTTAATAAAAATGAATAGAAATCAGAATAGAACTTTGTCCATTACTTGCTCATTGTGCAAAACACTATACAAATTACACGATACAGAAGTGTCGGAAAAAAGATATGCCCTTATGACCAATGATAATAAAATGACTTGGAAATGTAATAAATGTTGTACGAGATCACCGATTCCATCAAACAGTAATCAAGCGCTCAAAATCAATAAGCCCAGACCGTGACGAAAGCAGCTATACCTCTTTAACTTTAGAATGTTCTATGAAAAGTGTATCAAACAAATCCATAAATGAAAGCCCAATAATAGGAATGAAAGAACAAATACGCTTATTACGACAAGAACTAGCAACAGCACATATTGAGATTAAGGCTTTATTATCAGAGAATGCAAGATTAAAAAAACAATACGAGATAGAAAATTGTACTACCTCAAAATCTTTAAAGGAAATTAATATCAGCCCTCTTAGGAAACGAAATGGCAAGAATAATTTATCACCGATTCTACCTCCTCCAACTGCCTCAGCTACAACACCAAAAACAAAGGCAATACATCAAAGCATGCCTATAACCAAGTTAGCCCAAATCAAGACAACCACAACAGAAGAACGAAATGCGATATTAACTAAGACTAATAATGTAATGAAATGCGTGTCCAAGGATAAATTGTCAAATAACTTAAATGTTTTAAGCCCACAGAACCTCATAAAGTATTAATTTTTGGAGATGATGATGCGAAAGGTACATGTAAACTTTTGCAGTCTCTTTTGGGAGACCATTTCAAAGTGTTGGCTTTATTGAAGCCAGGAGCAAAAGTTGAACAAATGTTGAACTCATGTTTGTCTCTCTGTGACGGCCTAACTAGATCGGACTATGTTATTATAATTGGAGGGTCCAATGATGTTAATCCTATGGAACTGCAGAGTTATTTGTATTTTTATATTAGCAAACTTAATAATACCAATGTCATATTATCTGAAATATTTAAAAATGAAAGAATGAATAACCAAATACTATGTAATTTATATCGACATTTGTGTAATCAGTTTGGGTGGTGTACTTATGTTGGGTATACGTTTGGCAGATATTATAATAATTACTCTAGAGTTACCGACTTATGTAGGAACCTTTTAAGAACTATATTAAATAGAGAATATACTAGGAAATATAGTGAATACAGGGAATCATTAAAATTAAACAAAATATTAAAAGATACCAAAAAAATCTATGTAACGAAACAAACAGTAGGAACTCAAACTAGCGATGACAGTTTTTTCCTTGGCGACGAATGATTATTTCAGAATATTTCATCAAAATATAATGAGTTTAAAAAACAAATACAATGACATAGAAATATATTTACATACAATTGACATAGAAATA